GATCTGGAGAGCAGAGATTACGGTTTCGCAGGCATTCAATGAAAAATATAATCAAGGAAAGAGTTTAAGAGGAAGATGCTAAAATCTCAGATTCTGCACTGTACAGCTGATGCCAAGACAGGCTGAGGTTCTGGTGGACTTTGCTGTTTCCCATAAGCATTTTCTGTTTATAGTTCCCATAATCACGTTCAGACTCTTTCTGTTGCCACGTGCCAGGTCAGTCAGACACAAGATGGTAGCAGAACAGCCAAACCCACACGAAACTTAACAATTCACTATGGGTACCAGGACTTACAGTCTGGTTCAACTGGTCAACTCAGCTGTAACACAATGAAAGCAAGAAGAGATCTTATCCAAACCAAGCATCATTTCCTTATTTTCTCATTCAGGCATCTGAAGAAAGTCCTACTCCGTAGTTCTACAATCAAGGCAAACAAAAAGCTGAGCAGAGGAACTGAACCCACAAAATGCCCCTTTCCCAAGCAGCACATCTTAACACATCGCAGGTCAAGCGGCCGCGTACGGAATCAAGGATCCTAAGACTTCAGGCAACTCCTCGCTATTGCTGGAGATGCAAGCTGGGGCATGTAGAATTCCAGCATGAAGTGCATGGGCATGATTTCTCGCCCAGCCCTGAGTCTGTGCCAGGTGCCAGAATAAATGGAGACTGTGGAGTCAGCAACAGGCCACTGTCACCACTCCCTCTCCAAGGCATCACACGGAACTGTGATCAGGACAACGTGGGCAGGCAGATGATATCACGCATCCTGCAAAGAGAGGCAGAAACCTTAGAATCTACTTCATGCTAAAGTAATCCAGCATGCTGAGCTCTCTCCTTCACACCCAAACAGATAGTGTTTCTGAAAACTCCAGCCTCAGCTTGGCCCCCTTCCCACCAGTAACACAGGGCATGGCGCGTAAAGGCATGCCGACGTGGTTTGCTGCGTATCATTTTGCTCATGCCACGTTTGCAGTCACCCACCTTTTAGTGCCATGACCCCAATGCCGGCAGCTGTAGATTCACCACCTCTGTGATTTCCAGGGGACACTGAAACTTCAGTTTCTGGATGCTTCATAACACTCACCGCTGCTTCATCTACCCTCTGGCCGAGTCCAGCGTAAGACAACTTTGTTCCCACAAGAAGCTTCTAAAGGAGACCGTGACGCAACACAACACTACGAGCGACCCCTGAGGCTCACATGCACTGCTCACTCGCTCCTTTAGCTGGTGCTCACGGCTGGAAAGCCAGAACCAAGGCTAGACTTTGGCTTCGTCATTCCCGAGAACACCTGCCCGGTTACACACGCCGTGCTGGCGGAAGGTGGGCTGCATCTTTGCACGGCCCAGGAAACGGCCTTTTCACCGTTTCATGTGTAGCAGTGCTAAGGGATACAGCATCATGTTGCAGAATCTTCTCAAGTTTTAAAGTTATTATTTTAATCCTTAAGCTACTAAAAATAAAAATGTCCAACAAAAACCAGTGGCAAGTCGAATGCTTTTTGTCAGAGCTGGGAATAGCTCAAGTCCAGAGAATCACAGAAACTGGATCTCTCCCCTGAAGGGACCAAGCTGTCAACTTACTAATCACTCATTTGCTAGCAGACACTTGCAGGTACATTGTTTCTGCCCCACAATCTTTTTGTACAATTTAAAAAGGTGTAAAGGACTCTCCCTCCATCCCCTCTTCTCCTCGCTTCATCCAACCCTCTGGACAGTACAATGAAGCACAAGCAGTACAAACACCTGCAGCTGAGAGTCAGGTAATGCACAGTGAGATGCAAAAGCAGTTACACCAACTGCAGTATTAATTGATGTGGGAGTCCTTAAAATACTTTCTGCCAACACCAGCTGCTACATCCCATTTTCCAGCCTACTCCAGAGGTCTCACAGTAGCCCACGATCACCAGCTCAGAGTCCTGCCCCTTCCCAGAGGCCCTGGGTTCATCAGGCATCCTGAAAGGCCACAGGTGGAGAACCATCCGCCCAGCAGCAGACCTCAGCAAGGCACCCGAAGGCCTGGAGAGGCCCCTCGCCCATGGGCAGCACTGACCAGAGTTTGATTCCCTCCCTACAGACCCAAAAAGAATGCTGAGCTGAAAAGGCCACATTTTTAAAATACTTTATTTATTAAACAAACTATTTACAAAATCAGCTACTACAACCACCCGCTTCCAAATTTTGGCTGAACTCTGCCAGAAATTCACCAGAGGGAACTAAGATTTGACATGTATCATCCGCAGCTCCTGGATGTTTCTAAAAAACATGCAACATGGCCTGCAAGTACAGGCTGAAACCAGGCCCTCTGCACCTCAAAGCACTTTCAGGAAACACAGAACCTGTCTTGAGATGAGGCCAGGATCCTAAAAGTTTGTACAGAAGGGCCTCTATTGAGTGGGAATAAATAAGGGGTAAAATTAAAATTAATGAGCCTCTGCCAGAAGTAACATACAGTATAGGTGACCAAAGCACATCCCCATTGCCAGTGATAGGGGCAGCATAAAAAGTGGCTGTACTGGGAGAGGGTGTAAAGCTAGAGATGAATTTAGAAACCTTGTGATGGGTCTCAGGAATATGGAACCAGGTAGGGGCTCGTGGAAACAATGGGGATGGGTTTAGCCGACTAAGAGCACCCATCACAGTTCTGACTGCACTCGTGTTACGAAGAAAGTCCTTGGCTTCCGCAGAGCTGCTGGGAAGCGTGGGGCGCTGACTGCAATGCAATGAGAAGCGTTTAAGAGCTCTGTCTGGCAGAGGAAGACTGCCCAATGTCCAGCTACTTTGTCCTCAGAATAAAAAAGTCCAGCTCGAGAGAAGAAGGGAGAAGATTCCTGAGGAATATGTCATTGGCAGAGTTGGCCCATAGCTACAAGGCTGGAAACATCCTCACCAGGTGAGACTGCAAGACAAGGCTGCAACATGGGAACAGCACCAAGCTACTCCTCCCAACAAACAGGAGTTAATCCAAGCACTGCCACCTCCTCTCGGTCCCTGGAGCAAAGAGTGAGGTGGTGGCCTGGAGAACACAGGACCTGTAACTCTACTCACCGTGGAAACCATCTACGCTGTAAATAAGAGAATCATAGAATCACAGAATGGTTTGGGTTGGAAGGGACCTTAAAGACCATCTAGTTCCAACCCCCCTGCCATGGGCAGGGACACCTTCCACTAGACCACGTTGCTCAAAGCCTCATCCAGCCTGGCCTTGAAGACATCCGGGGATGGGGCACCCACAGCTTCTCTGGGCAACCTGTTCCAGTGCCTCACCCCCCTCTCTGTGAAGAATTTCTTCCTGATATCTAATCTAAACCTCCCTGATTTCAATTTGTACCCATTACCCCTTTTCCTATCACTCCAGGCTCTTGTAAAAAGTCCTTGTAAAAAGAGAGTGCCACACTTTCTGCCCAAAGGAGGTCAGGACCTGGCAGAATGGAGCCTGCGCTAAAAAAAGGGAGAACAGCCACTACTAAATGATCTGTCAGAGCGCAACAGTGGCAACTCTCAAGCTGGCAGACTCCCAGCACCTTGGTGCCAGTGAGGGAATGAATTCACAAGGCAAAGAAATCCCCCTGAGTAGTCTCAATGCTCAACTGGCTGCTTTTTGGCACCAAAATGGCTTTTTTCTTTCCCTTTACAGAAGTAACATACTCAGCCCAAGTATGGCTGAGATGCTGCCTTAAAAACATTTTCTAGTTGTAGAATGTTTCGCCCAAATTCCTAGTCAACTCAACCAACCTATACTGGAAAAGCACACACTGTTACCTTAAAATACCCGGCGTGCAGACGTCTGCCCGGAGCAGCCTGAAGACAGCAGAACGGGACTGAAGAGGATGGTGTGACTTTTTATCTAACAGGGTGTTCTAAAATTAACTCAGGGATGCCAGTCTGAGACTCCATTCTGGAAGAAACACAGAAATTCCATAACCCAGTGAAAGCTTACGTTGCAGGTAGTAGCAACATGGGTTTTTCACACTCTTGACTCCTGCGTGCCTTTGACTCCCGACCTGAACTGTCGAAAGGACTGTTGAGAACTTAAAAGATCTTGAATTTTGCTTCATGGAAGAATTCATCACCATTCCCAGATTCCCCCTCCCTGGTGTTTCCCTGGGAAGGGACGAACGGCCTGCCAGCAACAACACACCCCAATCGTAAGCTCGCTTCTCACGCTGGTCATCCCAGCTCCTCTCCCCGCAAGCCAGACAACGGCGAGTGCAGGCTGCTGTGAACACTTGAGTGAAGTCGCAGTTAACATTCTGTGCTGGAAAGCTGGCAGCACTGAAGGGGAAAGGAGGGAAGGTGAGCTGAAGAAAGAAGGCTGAAAGATTGGGAGGACAGAAAGCCTGCTGCTCTCCAGGCACCAGCACCCCTCCAGGAACTCTGCCTGAAATGCAGTAGAGAAAGAGAAGCCTCACGCTGCTGCATGATAGAGGTAGAAGCCGAGACCCTGTGGGATGCCGGGTGGAGGCACCACGTTTCTGCCTGGTACCATCATCACCCCAACAACAAACACAAGCATGTAGCTGCTCACTGACCTGTTACTGTCACTACAGAACATACATACCCTGAAGGTGAACATGGGATAGGCATTGGTGCCCAGCACTGAGGGATCACACTCACGCCCATATGCTCTCTCCTGAGGAAGGGAAAAGAAGGCAAGGGCATGGGACAGCTTCCTATGCAACATCAACGGTCAGAAACATTCAGTGGAGGAGAAACTCCTCTTCCAGTTCATTTGCAGAGGCTCATTACCAGCCACTGCTGGAGAAGGACGCTTCTACTGTTGGACCCCGGCGGAGGTAGTACAGGATCACTGTCAGGGCCAGCACTTGTGCTCTGATGAGATTGTTCTCCCCTACACATTACTCCCTCCAGTGGATACTGCCCGTTTTTCTCTGTGGCACAAGTGACAGCAGCATCCAGAGTAAGACAGAGAAGGAGAACCAGAAATCCTTCTGGTTCAGGTGCTCAAAGGATGGACAACCCTATACTCTCAGAGAGTTGGGTGAACTATTGGGGAGCATCACAGGGGCAGTTGAGCCAAGACACGGAAAGTTACTAAGGCTTCCTGTGAGCCAGGTTTTCCACACTGTTCTTCCCTCTTCCTCCCAGAGCTACGATAGAGGCAGCTCAGCAGATCTCCTGCACCTTGCTGTAACTTCTGCTTACGAACTTCATCTTCTTACGGAAGGATGAGTGTATGGGGTGCAGGGAAATCAAGTGCAATATCACCTTGATGAATGCACCACAGTCCTTTTGCTGTTTCACACTGAATCAAAGTGAGAATGAGGGAAAGGGAAAAGATGAGCTCTTGATGACATATTTGGGATACAGAAAGGCCACGTGACATCGTCTAGGTGACAAATTCCTTTACACAGAGTCTTTATTCTGCCTCCACTGCCCATATGAAGGGAAGGAGAACAAGCAGAGGACTGAACCTGGGTCTTGCCATGAAGAGCCAGGAGGCTAAGTGGTCTCCTGGAGAGGGGAAATCACAGCATGCCAAAGCCTTCACAACCCTCGCTGATAGCTAGCTGCAGCATCTTGTGCATTTCTTCATAGGAGTCGTAAGTAGGGAGGCACAGCTGGTTGAAACTGCAAAACAAAAGAAAAATGCCATTCAGACCAGAGCTGAGAGAGGACCAACCCCACCAGCTGCTTTCAGATGGGCTGACATGAGCATCGCACGCCGCTTGCCCACCACAACTAGCTGGTGTCATCCCCAAAACCACAATGCAGAAAGTCCTACCACCCCAAGATACTTGCCAAGTGTGGGCTGTCGGCAAAGTATTGTGAGTCGGAGCTGCAATGATCTGGAAAGATGGATGGAGTGCAGCAAACCCTCCTGGGGGCAGCTGGGAGGAACCAGTTGTGAACTGCAAGAGCCTGGCCAGCTCTTCCTGCGTGAAACTGGAGACCACAGTCCAAAACCACCCCATGACCTGTTAGGAAACAGGAAAGGTAAAGTCAGGTCAGCCAAGCAAATCAAATAAGCATATGAGCAAGTTTCAAGAAGACCAGTTTTGCAAGCAAGTGCTCTACTAATAGTCAGACACTTTTCTGTTTTACTAGGGTGACACACAGAGGCAAGTGTTGCATAGTTTCTTCTTCCCAGTTAAGATATGCCCCACGCTATTACCTCTCACCAGTCCTTTCCATTAAAGCAGAAAGGTTTCTGCTCTCCCCACAGAGATTTTATTTTTAGAAATACCTGCACAGGCAATGATGTAAGTTTACAATACAGAGGCTCATTTGCTTCTTGCACTATGCTAATCTCTTGCTTTTTCACATCCTCTGGTACTTTTGCACGAAGATGGAACCATCCCAGTGTTTGCAGCTAGAAGCTTGTACTTCCAATTTCCTTTCATCTTGGGTATTTTGGCAGCTTCCATTATTTTTCTAAACAAAGCTGCTACCATTCCCATACCCCTCCCACTGGGAAAAGCAGGGAGAGATGGGAACAATTATAGGGTACAAATTTAGGCTACTACATCAGTAGGCTCTACCGCAGCACTGAATTCCAAACACTCCACATGGGCTGCAATCATGATCTCCAAGCATCCCTCAGATATAAGTACACCACCACCACCATCTTCAGTAGCAATAATTCCCGTCAACTCCTCCTGATTCCCTGCTGAAATGTTCTCAACTGCTGCTTTGTTGGATTTTCTTACCAAGACCACTGCTGCTGATTTCTACCTGCTGGTAACTGATCAAGCATCATCTCTAGTCAGCTAGGCTGAAGGATCTCTCTAGGGCAAAGCATTTCATAATGTGTGCAGTCCTACTCCTGAACCCTGAATCTTCCAGTCTGTCCTCTGGAAGCCTAATTTCCAGCCAGGAAGTTTGTTCCCAGCTTAAGTTGCCTTCTGCTGTAGTTGGGATAACTAGTTTCAGGAAGCAGGAGGGAGAAATCCTTTCACTTACCTTCATACGGAAGTGCCAAGATCCTCCTACCACTACAGCATGTATCTTGAAGTCGCAGACACTGATATCTCCAGTTCCACACATCAACAACTGAAAGGCAAGAGACTGCAGTCAGAGTCAGGAGGCCGGGAAACCAGGCAACAGTCACTGTGCAAATTGCAAACATTTAAAATCCTCGGAGGAGAAACATTTTGGCTTTATTCCAGATTCAGAAGTGCTCCATTTGTTGGAGAGGAAGGGAAGTAAGGGGAGAGATGCTTAGGGAGGCAGCAATTACCTCAAGCTCATTCTCATCAAAAATAGCCAGGAGGTTCTCAGGAACTAACTCATTAAGACCTGGAAGAGAAAAGGAGAGAAGAACAGCAAATGCTATCCCCTGGGACATAAAGGCAGAAAGGAGCAGAGAGCAGACAGCACGTTACCTTTCAGGAAGTGATCCACCTCCTCTCTAACCTGACTGGCCAGCCTGTATTGTGCAAGCAGGTTTAGATACAAGATCTTGTTTTCATTGGTGACTGGTACTTGAGCCCCTCCTGTCACCAGTTCCACCACCTGCAAACAGTACAATACTTGACCTGTGAGCAGCAGCATTCCCCAAACCTGAACTCCCAAGTAAGGAGCTACTGCCCAGAGTAAACTCTATTTTCTGGGGCATGTAGCAGAGTTCTCAGCCTCCCCCGCTACAGGCAGAAGGGGAAAGAACTGTCCTACCTTCACATCTGCCTCCCTCACCTTCTCCAGCTGTCCTGTTTTGCTATACTTCTCTTCAGCAAAGACCAGATCCATCTCACTCACATCATTGTTCAGTATGAAACAAACTTTGGACTTATAGAATTCTGGGTCATCCGTTTCAAAATACTGTGTGAAAGAAAAAGAAGGCAGGGGCATGGAGGGAAAAAAAACCCCATCCCACAACATACATTGTTAACCAGGATTCTGGATCCGCTTCTACTACACCAACGTTCAACCTCTCCCCAGACCAAGACCGGCTTCGGACAAGGCTGGGAAGCATTACCTTGTAATGCATACGAAGTCCTATGATCTGAGCCAGGAAGGATCGGGTGAAGCGAGCTCGAACCAGCTGTTTGTAAGCATCTCCCAGAGATGATTCATAAAGACACTTTCCTACTAAGCGGCCTGCAAATTCATACACTTTGAGTCTTAAGTATGTGGGACGCCCTGGATTTGGATGCACCTGCAAAGAGGAAACAAAATGAAATGTGCATGTACCAGGGAAGACTAGCATAAATAGCGTGTATGGGACCAGTTCAAGTCACTCCATCTTCCAAAGGCTGCCTTGCCCCAGGAGCTTTAGTGTAATATCCTCAAAGCCAAGCAATAGAAATAAAATGCCTGAGCCCGCTTAGGAAGAGTACAAAATGTTTCATATGCACAGGCCAGAAGCTGTATGAGAGCAGAAATGGACTGTGAAACACTCAGACCCAACAAACCCTCTAGACACTCTGTTGCCACCTGCTCTTGCTCAGAAATCCAGCCTTTCTCACTGACTGACCACCCTCTCCTTTTCATCCAGCCAGTCCCTCCGCACTTCAGTGGAATAAGATCCTCAGGCAAAGCTTTGAGAAAGGCACTGGAAGTGACTGTGCAGCCAAGCCAGAGAATGGGCAAGGCTGCACACCACTGAATAGCAGCGGCATTATTTAGCCATCAGCACACGCGTTTCTGTGCATTCAGCATAGGAACTGCAGACTCACCAAGGCCTGGTTGTTATCACTAAAGCGGGTAAAGAGTTGACTGGTGGTATCAAATAACGCCTTACAGATGAGCTCAAACCACTCTCTGCGTGGACCTCCCCAGTCCAGAGCTACAAGATAAAACAAGCTTGGTCATCCGCCAGTCACCAGTTCCAGAGTTTCAGAGCTCACGGCTATGAACAGGTCCAAAGCAAAAAAGCAGTAGACAGGCACCCTGGAACTCTAGGTTCTGCTCCCAAACCTAGTCCTCTACTATTTTTTTGTTTGGGACTTGGTTCCCTATGTAAAGTAGGGATAGCATAGAACCAGCAGGGTAATTCATTAACATCTGTGAGAATGTAAAAGGGCTGGAAAGCCACAAAGGTTAGACATACTCCAAGAAACCAGAATTCCATCATTCCTTTCATTTCATCCTCAAGTATGTCCACTGCATAACTCACCTTCTTCATCCTGAAAAATCACTTCAAAGTTTTTGCTCCAATCAGAAACAGAAAAATTTCGCGTTGCTTTAAAAGACTGAAAAAAACCCAAAAAAGCAGCGGTTACCGCTTGGCACCCCATAGCCAACATGCAATCACACACGTATGGATGGGTAATTTAAGCAACACAAAGCCTGAGAAACAGTCCAGTACTCTAAAGTACAAAAGCAAGAATTAGGAACTCCTAAGGTCTAATTCTTATTTGTCTAAAGCCACAGAAGCCAACTCCTCATTTTCTATTATGAGACACATTATCCACATAAATACAGCTCATCTTAAAACCAGCGTGAGGTCTTAGCGCAGCACAGGTGTATCCCGCTCAAGGCTGCAGTACAGTATTGTTGAAAGTATTAAAATGCCTGTGGGAAGGAGCAATTTCTGTAAAGCACTCGCAGCCCACGAGTTCAATTTGAAAAAGGAACGTTTCAGAGAGCATTAGAAAATAGCTTGAAGGGTTCACCGAGTTCATACTTTAAACAAGTCACGACGCAAAAACGAAATATTTCAAGTGTCTAGAACTTCCTGTGTCCCGATTCCCATTCCAATTAAAGAAAATTTAAAATGCAACACAGCAGTCCTCAGTCATGCAGGTAGTTTTGGCTTAGCTTATCTTCAAACAGGTTAAAGCATCATAGGATCACAGAATGGTTTGGGTTGGAAGGGACCATAAAGAGCATGTAGTTCCAACCTCCCTGCCATGGGCAGGGACACACCAGTCACATCTCTGGGCTAAACACACAGATCACATTCATTGTGCCTATCAACCTTGGACACCAAAGCTCACATTTATTATTATGATGGCACCTAATTTATTTTGTCTTACTAGGCTGTAAGATCAGTCGTCATGAGAGTACAGTGATTTCCAAAAGAGCAAGAAAAAGAGAGTCATGTAAATATTGGTTAGAAGTGATTTTGTAGCAAGCTGTTAACCAAAACACAACCTTGTAAACACTATGAGCTGGTACGTGCAGAAAATATTCCAAAACACAGATTTACTGGGCGTAAATCGGGGGAAATCCCAGCCACTTCTGCTTTCCCCAGAAATGTTCTTTTCCATCTAATATTAATGTTGTGAGATACACGTGGAAACAACAAATCGGGGTAAGTGCCTGCCTTGCACAAACAGCACTTAGAACGTCAGTTAAGATCTGTGTTATATGAACGAAACAAGTTTGATTTTGGAAACACATTGCCTCAGGTCAGCATTAGTGAAGACTAAGGACTCTACAGAGTACTTCATCATCACACTGGACCACTACTAGAAGCCTGTTGATGCAAGAACTTCATCCAGGCAGCTCATTAACACGTGACTTGTTATACACCGCACTCAGAGAGTGGTGGTCAA